TTTAGACAATATTCAAAGGGCCGTAGATCTTAAACCAAAAAAATAGTAGCAAAACAAATTCGATATAATCCTAGCTTTAACCTTCCTATGGTAAAATCCATTCACAGCAATTAAAAAAAGTTTAATATATACCAGTAAACAGACACGGCCCGGGACGCTGCAATTGTAAAATTCTAGTAAAATTTTATTAGGAAAGTGCTGCCACGTCTTGCGGAATTCAAACTTAAGTTACGTGTTACCGCCCATTTGATAAAAGGAGGAGTTTATTCTTATCTTTCCAACATAATTTTAAATCTATCGGAGTTCTTAGCAAAATAATTTTCTTTGAGTTTTAACATGAACCCTTTAGGAAAGTAGGCACTGTAGATGCTTACTAATACAGGTACAACAATTGAAGCACGACATCTCCTATCTCTGTGAATAGACGCTATAATGCAACAAAATATTATCCCCGATTTTCCGTCTGTCTGTCCGTTCATTTGTCTGTCTACGCACAGTAAAACTTTGGTCTTAGATCACCTATCGATTGCAGGTTGTCGCTGTACCGTTGCTTAGGCTGCGTTATAGTTGTGCGAAGTACCAACAACCATTTGTGAAATTAAAGTTTTAGGTGCTACCCTATATTTTTTTAATTCAGCACTCTATATATCTTAACGTTAATTGTGTTTCATTCTTTTTTCTGAATACGTTGCTGTATCACAACACAATCTAAATTTTTTTTGTATTTTAGCTATGAACCAAAAATAAAAACCTTATTTTTTAAGGTTTTTAAATTGTAGACCATGGATTCACGGAGATTTATCCTAAGGTCTTTTTCCTGATTGCATTTATGTATCACAACCTATACTTTTTTAAATTCCGAGCGCACGGAAAAACGCTAGGAAAAACGTGATTTCTGAAATATTTCATCCAGTTACACAGAAACTACAAGAGCTATCTATTCCATTAAAACGGCGTTGAAGTCCCTAGCGCTTGGAATAAACTTCATTTTATGTTCATGTGACAAATACCTACTTTTCTTTTTATTAGGGGTCGCACACAAAATTTGTCAAATGTTGCATCGAAAACTTCGACATGCGGACAGCTATGTGATTTATTCAATATTTTCACATTTAACATTAGCATAAGTATTAATAAAACAGGCGAAGTTTTTTAAAAAAGAATTAGGTATGTTGATAGTTGAAACCTGATGCAAATTTTGTTCCCTACAACTGCAAGACATCGATTTTATTCAAAGACAGAAAACAGTAATAGTAATAATTCACCATTGACAACTCCGACTGTACTTTTCTTACATAAAAATTCAATAAACTCTTTTATGATGCAAATGCGAAGGACGATTTGAATTTAATAAGGGCCCCCTTTATGTACGAAGTTTATATCAAATTTTTAAATCTAATTTCACGGAATTGAATTATGTGGGAACGGAAATGCTATTTGGAATATTATTTCAGCGACTATTTCGATTGGTCAATGGGTAAATCAATCCTGTTCTAGAACTTATTATGGTTCACGCTATAATTTTTAGTTAATCTTAACTGTCGTGTTTTATTATACGAACGCAATTTCTCCGTTTTTGTAAGTTGTGCAAAAAGCGCGCCTCGCTTGACAAACTTAAATGGTAGATTATCCAGAATTTATGGCAAACACTTGATGAAACCCTAATATACATAACAGAACACTGCAAATGCTTCTACCATTCACTAAATGGGGGCGAAATAAAAGCGAGTATCATTTTTCTTTCGATATATTTTTCTGATAATTAATGGGATTTTGGTTCTCTTTGACCAGGATAAAAAAAATTAAGATAAAGAAATTATCCTGCCAAGTTGTAAGAGGTGCATGTTGGAATTAAGTGTTTACTTGTGCTAATGTCTCATTTGTCATTATTTATAGGTATCCTAACCAGCATCATTTACTTCATTCTATATTTCCTGCAGTAAAGATGTATACGTAACGCCGTAACGGGGATAACAATAAACCACAAAGTGAGAATATTGTAGCGCTGATAGGAAGATTCGCCACCGCAAATTCGGACCCGGAATATTTGCACACAGGTAAAGTCGCCCGAGGGAGTTTCGCTGTCTGAATATATGCCCCGGAGTCGTTCGCGGAAATGTCGCTCTCGGAAGATTCGTCTCCGGAAATTTGGCCATGGAGAATTGGCTTCCTCAGGAACTAGCTCAAAGAAAAGTTCACTTCGAGGAAAGTTGGACCTTAACGGATTCACCCTCTGAAATAATTACTATGTACAATTTTTTTAATGTTAAATGTAGGTTAACACTGGGTGCCGTTTATATATCTCGGTAAATAAGGACGGTATACCACATTGTAGAGTCGAGTTTATGCTTTCTCCCAATCGTCCGATCGCTCACTCGCTCGATGGACGCATGTTCATCGATTTAAAAGAAAATGGATGGACCGAATTGGCAATGTAGGCCAAAAAATAAGGAAGGCCGTTATGACACATCCGTTAGTTATGAACCGAAAGTTGTTCTGCGCATGCGCAATCCGATTTTGTAATTTGTTAAGATATTTAAACTTTGGTTTCAATGAAATTTTGTATGTAGGAATCTCGAATAAAAGTAGTTCTAGTGTTTGCATATTCAAATAATGCCTTTATCCAAGAACAAGTCCCGCCAGGTCGCGGGTCTCCGTTCAAAAACTCGACGCTAACCAAGATGCCGCCCGCGCCATCCATTGAAGTCCGGTTCTGAAGGGGTCAGAATGAGAGAGATCGGCTTTTGCTATTTAAACATTTAAACATTAATTTTATCTCTCATTGTATTCTAATTAAAGATCTCAACGAAAGGAACCGTTTTCTACCAACTACTGCTCTTCTTTCTGTCCTCTACTACGGGGTGGAGGGAGGGGGGGGAATGGAACTAGTTTTCTCCTTCATGGTACTGTAATGAAAGGTCTCAACGAAAGGAATTAATTTCTACCAACCATAACCCTCCTCCTCGACCTCTTATCGTGATCGGGTATATTCCCTTATACCTCAAGAACAGATTGTCGGAAGAGGGTACTCACGAAGAGCGATTGAGACGTCTGCAAGAAATACATCCATTAGTGATGTCAAATCAAAAGCTTTATTTATTTGTTTAAACACACACCATACAGAATAAGAAAATTCAAATTAGGTACATGGTACTGGGGCTCTCAACATACATTAGAGCTTATGATCTAATTTGATTAACTATTACATTTAGGGGATCGTGAAAAAAGTCGATATCATTCACTGAGGAGAACTTATTTAAAGTGATTAGCATCCTAATAAGTGGGGAAGTTGTGTTGGTAACTGCAAAATAGTATTACTTTTCCTTGCCTTAACAAGTGGTATTTTCAGCTTAATTTCTTGAAGCAATTCAGAAGACTCAGGGGAAGACTTTAACAGATTATGTAAAATTTTGAAGAAAAAAATTGTGGATGCAATGAACCGTCAGCTTTAATTTAATATTCGCCATTAACTGCAAGGCAGTGGCCTAACCTATCATGAAAAGCTTGAAATGAATATTCTGGGAGAAATTGCTGCAGCACTTGCTAGTTTCGTTTTGTCTTTTAATAGGAAACGTATACTTTCACTTGTTTTATTTTGATGTAGGATCTCTAGATTAATGTTATTGATGTAATCTAATTACATATTAAAAAGTTTTTAAATTGTGGCCTAATGAAGTACATTGCTATTTAAATTCAATTGTTTTTCGTAACTTATTTGTTTTCTGAAATAAAAACAACTGAATGCTTCCTTATTATGGAAAATAAAATGTTAAAACAATTTTTGCATAGAAAAATTTTGTATATACAGTCGATATTTAGTTAAATATATACTATGTTCCACACATAATGGGCACCCTATATATAGGGTCATCTGGACGCGCAATAGAAACAATTTAATTGCCGCCATGTTTTCGGACGTCCTCGTACGTATGTACGCGCGAAAATATAGCAATCGAAAATATATTCAGATATAGTAAGAAAAGACACGCGGCGCTTACAACAAATGCAAACGAAAAATTGTGAAATTAAATTTGGAAAAGAAACGTTCAATTTTATTAAATTATCATTATCCATCTCGGTTTGTTACCCTTTCCATAAAATTATCCTTTTCCTTAGTCCACTCACTTCTTAATATCAAAGTTACGATCCGATCTGGATAATATTTGGTAAGTGTAAGTGTAAGAATTGGGATGGTTTTGTATCGCCTTATTCAAGCAGCTGTTTTATTTTTTGCTTTTCATTAACACTTCGTTTTTACAGCCTGTTCCGTTATTTTGGTGTGTTTTGATTCTACAACTTTTTACTAAATTGTGTGCAAGCTGGAGTGCGCTATCTTGATTGGGCAGCGATATAACCATCGTTTTGTCGCTAATATTGAATTTTGAAATTTGAAATACCAGATTTGCCGAGAGATTTGTAAAAAGTGATTCAGAATGTGTGAAAGAACTGTTGCAGAAATTCTTTGGAAAATGAGTCCACCAAATGGCTTTATTGCAGAAGCTGCACGTTTATCTCCAATAACGAGAAATTTTAGTCTAACCTATATCAACTGACTATTAGATTAAATTATTAATTTCAATAATAGATAATAAACTCACGCAAAGTTATAATAAAGTAGCGTGAGCAAATCCCATGCAATACTTCACGCTGTAAAGATGCGAAATTGCATGTTGCTGGGATGCATTATCTGTACTAAAATACTTAAGTACCTGTAACTTGAAGGGCCAATCTTTCAATCTCGATAAATTTATTTAGCAAATAAGTAGCTTGACAACGATTGGATCAACAGTGGTATCTATGGAATTTATTTCGGAGAATTTTGAAATCAAGAGCATTCTAAAAATATAACACATGTTATGGGTTATTGATTTTTGACTTTCGACCCTACCCCAGGACTTTGAACCTCGAAGCCCCAAAATTTAATCACTTATATTCCTTAGGTCATGGGCTATCTGTCACGGGTTACGGGTGGCAGCACTTGGTTAGCGGTTTGAACTGAACGACTGTGAAGTGAAGTGTTCCCAATGCACAGTGCCTTGAAAGGCTTATTTAAACGAACCTCGTGCTGAAATTAAGTCTTGTGTTACAAGTTCCGAATTCATTGGTACTATTGTTTTAGTTTATCGTTATCTCCGTTCTCCGACTATCTACAATTAAAAATTGTAAGTGACACGGTATTATCAACCTTATCGCATATTATAAAATGTTTTTCTTCTATCTTTTTAACAATATCGTTAGTAATTATTCTATTTGGATTGGGCAAAATGTTGTAAATGTGGTGGATTATAGCACAACGTGGTAGTAGAGAACCTTCACATATACTTCACATATACTTGTTTCCTTCACATATACTTATTTCTGCCTATTGCATCCGTTCTCTAAGAGAAATGACCATTGACTATGGACTATTCAAATGCTAAGCATAACGCCACGTAAAATACCTACGCAACGAATTTCGAGCGTGCCTAACGAAAGGCCCTTTAGTCCACAACGTGTTCTATTTTTCTGGTGTTTGTAATTGCCCAAGTTATAGGGATGGAGAGCAGTGTATGTATATTTTTATGAAAATAAAATAGATTAGATATAATGGCTCATTATTTCTTTGATTCACACATAAAGCAATTTTTTATTCGAACTCTATCATTGCAATTGACTAAATCGTGTAGGATTCCCTATGAATAAGATCGTACGCGTTTGGTAAACATAAATTTCTTTGAGGAATGAGTTGTACAGTGGCTGACATATGTTTCGGTCTGATTAACAGCAGGCCATTGTCAAAGCAAAAAACTACAAGAATATTATAATTATGAGGTTTTCTATATTGGAATATTACTTACTTATTAAAGACGCCGATTAATTTAAACAAAAAACAAAAATAGTTAAACGGCCGAAGCCGAAGTTGATGCCAAACTAGGACGCTGAAGGCAATGTCTGCTAGCTCGCAGTAGGGAAAAAACCATGTCCATGTGGTTTACATGATAAGAGTTGGTTGTTCAATGTTCATTAATTCTAATCTCCAAACTCCGATTCGTCATACCTACATAGGAGCCGTTACAGTCATTGCAATTAAGTAATAGCAACGTTATAGTTATGAGATTGGAAAATTCTGACGATTTGATCAGAGAAATTCTCAACATCTATGGTATCACCCCCAAGTATATTTTATCTGATTTTATCGTTATTAAATGGCTGAAGGCCGGTTTCACCAAATATGGTTTTTCTGTTTTTGGTGTTTTTTTAAGATTTTGTCTACGATATTATGATAGAAACCGTTGCTCAACGGCCAACGCTATTTGTTTTATGAGATTGAGTTCTTTATTGAAATTACTGTGACCTAACGGAATGTTGACCAGCCTATTAATAAGCGAATGTATACTGGCCATTTTGTGACTCTGTGGTGAATTGGTCATCATCAGGATAATATTGTCGGTGTGTGTGGATTTTCTGTAAATGTCAACATTGAAGTGGTTATTAATTTATTATTGACCGTAATTTTTAAATCTAAAAACGAAATGGAATTATTAACGGATTTCTCCACAGTAAATTGTATATTCTTGTGCCACAAATCGATGTCTTAAATTTTCAGAATTTGTTCTAGACATCAATTTGTGGCACAAGAATATACAATTTACCGTGGAGAAATCCGTTAATAATTAATTATAGCATATAATTCTGCATAATATTGCCTACTTGAGCGACAAAACAATTCCGCTAGGGCCCACTTCACAATAATCATGCTAATAACAGTAGGATCCATTTATCGGCAAACCACTATCGCCCAATCAGTCTAACGTCATGTTTGGGTAAGCTATTAGAGAAACTGGTGAACCGGCGGCTGGAATCATTTTTAGAAACCAACGACATCTTGGTACCATTCCAAACGGGCTTTCAGCATGGCAGGTCAACATTTGATCACTTGGTAAAAGTGAGTGACAGAATCCTAAGGACCTTCGATAATAGAGAACACCTGGTAGCGGTGTTCTTTGATATTACGATATGACGATATGACATGGAAGCATATGAATATGTCAAAATATAATCTACGCGGTAATTTACCCAAGTTTGCACGTTCCTTTTTAGAAGATGGGCGGTTTGCCGTCAGAATCGGAGCCACAAGGATCAACTTTAAGTTGTTCCCTTTTTGCAATCGCAATAAACGAAATAGCCACAGGAGTTGCTGAACAAGTTGACAGATGTTTATATGTCGACGACCTGATGATATGCCTTGCCGGAAAAACTATAGGCAGTGTAGTGCGTAGCTTTCAAGGTTCCATCAACCAAATTGCTACAAATGCAGATGCAATAGGGTATGTGCTTTCCGAGGAAAAAACCAAAGCGATGCATTTTTGTAGGCTTCGTAAACCTCATTATGACCCTGTAATGTTTTTAAATGGTCAGTAATAAGTGTACCCAATGAAATTAAATTTTTAGGACTCACCTTTGATAGGGAATTAAGATGGACCAAGCACTTGAAGAAGCTACTAACATCAAGTAGGAAATCGTTAAACGTGTTAAGAGTACTATCAGACCTCAAATGGGGGGCTCATCCTAAATCCCTTCTCGATCATAAGGCATTGATTCTGTCACGCATTGATTATGGGTGCTGTAGTTATTCCACGTGTAATTCCACGTTGCCGAGTAAACTGGACAAAATCCAAAACCTAGCAATTAGGTGTCCCTTGGGGCCTTTCCCACGAGTCCCGTCAGTGCTCTCATCGTCGAAGCGATTATTGTACCGCTTGCTCTTCGTCGAAAGCAGTTAATAGTCAAATATTATCTGAAAGTACGTCTGAATGATAAACATCCAAATTATAATTTAATTACCAATAGAACAAGACCTACACGTTTCTATAAAACGCAAGGAGAAAGAGCAAGACAACGTATAAAGGAGTTACATTTGCAGGAGGGTAACATTGTAGACCTCACGAAGGTGGCTGTGAAGCGAAGTGTGTATGAGCGCTGGCAGGAGTAGTGGACGCGGATCGATACATCATACCAAATATTGGGCCACTATTTTTACTACACGTGGAATGGTTGCACTCGACAAAGTTGTATTGGCTTCGGTTGGGACACACTGCTCTAACGCATAGTTATTTGCTGACGGGTGAAGTACCACCCTTGTGTAATAGATGTGGTGCCAACTTAACACCTGAGCACATACTTTGTACCTGTGCAGCGTACCAAAACGAGCGTGATCTCTTTAAAATTCATGTGATATGGGAAACCAATTTTTCTAGTCAGGATCGCTGTCAAAGAATATTAACATTCATACGGGGTATCGGAATTTTGAATGAACTGTGATAATCTGTGATATTAGTATGTACGTAAATGTTGCCTAGTTCTTGTTTCGTCTTGTTCGTCTATATCTTTGTCTATAGGGCGATAGGCAAATGGCCTCAGCTGCCGAAGCCTTAGGTGGAGTTTTAGTGGGTATTCCCAGCAAACGGGAGAGCCCCACACTACTCTGGAACTTCCTTGCAGAGGGTGCATAAGGTGCATTTCCCCACCTATACAAAAAAATAAGGGGAAAAATCTGTTTTAATGAAGACGATAGAACACAAATCAAATTTCATTGTTAGAATAAATGTAATTAATATTCCGAACTAGGGTATCGAATTTCAGTTAGTCAGTACGGACGACCAAATTCGAATAACCTACTGGCGGCGAATTTGGAAATCTGCCACTGCTCATCAATTGTTCCACAATAGATACACATAGGGATAGGTACCAATACGATTAGGAAAGGATACGATACGGACTTTCCTGTGCTGTTTAACTATAGCACTACTGACTAGAGCTAGACGAAGTTTTAGAAACTTTAATGTATTTTTTTATATTTCGGTGTCACAATGATGATTTTGTACAACTGTTTTCGGAGTTGTACAAAGACAGTGATTATAGCCGGTTTTTTTTTTGGTAACTCATCTCTTAAGTTGGCAGTTACTAGTTAGTACAAGTAGGTACTTCGTTGGATACTTCCATGCTTAGACAAGGAAAGAGAGGGGACCCGTAATACCGCATCCACGGCATGCGTGAATTTGACGCGAATTTCGAGACGACCGCCATATTTTCGGTGGCAGTCAAAGCTCGGTGGCAGTGTGAATTTATTGACATTTCTTCATTATTGATAAAGATTGTGTGTGCAAAACTGTGTGATATAAACGTGGTGGTTTGTTCTGCGTACAACTGTAAAAGTTGCAGTGGTCGTTGTCCAGCAGGAATATCATTTCATAGGCAAGATAAAAATCAGCACGTTGTCTGGTTTGGCTAAATTTAATTAAATCTTCATGGTAGTTAATAAAACACTTCTACGGTCTTCATTTTCATAATCTTACAATTGTCCTATATTTTTGTGCATCAATAAAATACTGCTTTATACTTCTTTCCATTGATAATTTCTCGATTACAGTAAGCAAGTGAGGGTCCGTGAAGTTAGCAGCACACTGAAGGCACAAATGTCGAGACTAGGTGGGTTGGTTAGTGCTTCGTTTGTGCCGGTTTGTGCCGTAAAAAGTTTGCCAGCAAAACATACCGTTTGGAAATTATTTCGATTTTTAGATGTGCTGCTAACTTCGCACACTTTTGTCGGCACAAATTTCGGGACTGGGTGGATTGGTTAGTGCTTCGTTTGTGCCGGTTTGTGCCGTAAAAAGTTTGCCAGCAAAACATACGGTTTGGAAATTATTTCGATTTTTAGAGGTTCTGCTAATAGGCCAGTCATTGAGGATTTTTAGCTGGAAACAACTCGGGAAGTACAGAAATTTTGTATGCTTGAGTGCGTAGAACTAAAATTCATAAAATGCACAATTCTAAACTTGCCGCCGGGGCCGCCATCTTGCCAAGATGGCCGTCAAAAGCGGTTTTCCGCCGATATCTCCAAAACTGCGCATTTTACGAGAAAATATGTGGTGAGCAAAATTAAAGAAACGAAAATTTCCTACAAAAAATGTAGTTAGCATATTTTCACTAAAGTTAGCCCTTACGCAGAAATTCAGAAATTTTTAATAACCAGTGGCGTATATTTTATCCAAATAATTCATTAATCATTTAATTAATTAATCAAATTGATTAATCAATTAGTCTATGATCAATTAATTTTAAGATTTTATTTTAGTCGTCTCCATCTTCAATGGTGAGACATATCAATTTTCAAATTTTATTA